TCAAATTTCGTAATTGAAGTTCATAATGGGTACTACAGCCGGTGATAGTGAACCACGTCTTCACCCCATATAATGGATTTCTTTTTGGTGGTATTTATCGACGGTATTTTTTGGAAAAATTTCAACTTCTTTCAAAAGGGTGAAGATCGGCCCGGCCGAAATTAGCTGCTTTTATACATTTTAGACCCCACAAAGTATATATATTCTTGATCAGCATAAAATTCTATGTCGATTTAGCAATGTCCGTCCGTCCGTCTGTCTATCCGACCGTCAGTCCGTCTGTGGAAATCACTCTAGCTTCCGAACGAAATGAAGTAGGTTGATAAAATTTTAATCAAATGTGTATTATGTCTGCAGGACTTTTGGTATTGAAAATGGACCATGTAGGTCCACGTCTTCGTATAGCCCCCATATAACGATACCTCCCGATATTGGGTATTTTGATGATTTTAGGTACATTATAAACAGATTTTTTTTTAAGTTTCTTAAAATACGACTACATTTTGGTATTTTTAAGATTTTAACAGAATTTTTAACGGCTGAACTCAGATCTTTTTTACTTGTTTTAATTTTTAAAGAAATGCTTTAGGTGTTGAGTTAATAATATATACGTGTATTACTTGAAAATGCATTACAATTTAATTTATTAAAAATAAAGTTGCTTTTATGATTAAAAATAGTTGGAAGCTCCTCCAATATAAGTAAAAATTTAAATTATAAATTGTAAAAAAGGCACTTAACATATGTGCAACTGGGCCTTAAGCATAACGTTCAGATAATGTATAAATCAAGCAAAAAAAAATTTAATTTTGTTGGTCATAGCCCCCATAATATAGTGGAGATTATGTCCGCCTCCAGTTAAGTTAAGTGGTCCTGTGATGGGGTTGTTTTAACCTGTTCTGGAGTAATACAAGAAAATTGGTATTTTTGTACCGGAACTTCTTGAAGAACCCTTAAAAAGTCGAAAATTTGCCCATTATTAAGATCTACACTTCTTCCTTTTCCAAAATGTTGCCATATGTGTTGAGATCACTTGTAGTTCGGAAGATATTGACTTTAAAACCTAAGGCCGCAATTTAGAAAAGTTAGAAAGTTGTGGACATACTCCAGAGGAAAAATGCTCAAGGCCCGGCCGAAGTCCGGCTACTTATAAAAACTGTAAAAATTAGAAAAATTCTGGATCGCGTAGCCGGTTTTGAACATACCCCTAAGGAGAACATCTCAAGACACGACTGAAAATCTCAAGAGCTACAGGAGTTAGATACATAATAGTGGAGAAAATCTCAATTTCATCCATTTTGAAAGGCAGATCTTAATAGCCCATAATGAGTCTGTTGAAAAATTTGTACATATAAGTTTTGTAGAGACGGATAGAAACTCGGAAATTTTGGGGTAGAATAATCGGGTAACTGGGTATTTTCCCCACGAATAATTACTATGCTGTAATGAAGTTAAAAATACCTTCCCCATAATAGGGTTTATGTTCGCGCCACAAATCGGATCATCGGATACTTCCTTCGAAAGTTATCGTGCGCACCAGCCAGCCAGACGTACGGATGGACATCGCTAGATCAACTCCAAATTTCCTGAAAATGATTTGGCCCGAAAAGACATAGGGTCTAAAATCTTTATTTCGATGAGGCACTTTTTGGCCGAATCAGATGATATTCCCCCTCTCTAGCCATATGGCTGAGGGTATAAAAACTTTAGTAATCTTTAATCATCGTCCATGCAGGATATTTAATGATTATTTTTTTCTTCGACCAAATAAGATCGCCTAACTTTTAGGTTCGAAATTTGAGACTCTAAAATTAATTTCTAAAACAAAATGTAAGTATGTGCCTATCTCAACTCTTATTGAGCTTGAATTTTTTGAATCATATGTGTAAACTGGTCCTTGGCTGACAGTATGTTGCAAATGTGCACAAGACACACACTCATACAAACATACATTTACATCGAAACACAAATACACTGACACAGTTTTACACGGTAACAACAATTCCAATGGCTGAATGCAAAATACACAGACATGGCGAGTTCATGTGGCCCGGCAGAGTGCAACATCACTGCTGCTACGGCTGATGGTTTATTTTCCAATGCCTTCGTGCAAATCCATTGTTCATTTTACAATTCCGTTTTGGTTACGCTTACACGTATACGTATGTGTATTCTCTGCCATGCACAGGCATTCTCCAACACAGCCATAGACAACAAACCAATACAGTGTTGAATGAACACACAATTATCATCAGAGCAAAGAAGAAATGTCAAAAAACGAAAACGGACGGAGGCCGCATCCCAGTAAACAATTTTTTCCGACTGCTCTGATTTTAGATTTTTTTCCGAAATTTCTGACGTTTTTTTCAGAAATTTCTGATAGAAATTGGTCCGATTTTCTAAACGTTTTTTTTTAGAATTTCTGCACATTTTCCTGTGTTTTTAAGCGAAAAAAAACTCGAAAAATGTACAAACGGAGAGAGTAGATTGTCTATTGCTCTGGCATATTCTCTTCCACATGTAAACGGATGGTGGTGGTTTGACACATTCTCTCCCATAGTAGTTGTTGTTGTGATCATTCATTTCAAGATCTCAACAACAACAAAGCGCAAAGCAAAAATGCTATTTGTTATTGTTATTGTGAACTGTTAGATTTTCCGTTGTAAAAATGTGCGTTTTGTTGTTGTTGTGAATCAGCCTCTTTCTCTTTCGTTCCCAAAAAAATATGATGGAAAAAAATTGCAAAAACAACTACATACCGGTTTTCTGTGTGCACTGCTTTTTATTTTTAGTTCTTGTTTAGCAGTTGAAACAGATACAGCAGATACAGTGAATTACAAAAATTATATATATGTATATAATAACAACAAATAATTGAATTATCTGTTATCTGTTCAACTCTTTTGTGCATTAAAATACTGTATGTTATGTTCCTAATAAAAATAATATTTATAATGTAAATGTATTATATATGTAATATTTAAACTACATTTTTACGAAACCCGAAATAAATTGTTTGTTTTTTAAATAAATATGTGTTTTTTTTTTTCATTTTTAAGTGGTGTGACGATTTTTTCGATATTTCTTCCGAATTCTGAACGATTTCTTTCAGAAAATCGGAACTTTCTCCCGAATTCTGAGCGTTTTTTTTTTTTTTTTCAGAAAATCTGAATTTTATTCCGAATTTTCTTTCGAATTCTGACCGATTTCTTTTAGAAAATCTGAATATTCCGCCGAATTTCCAGACGAATTCTGCCCGATTTCTTTCAGAAATTCGGAGTTGTCCTCCGAATCTTTTCCGAAAATCTAATTTTTTCTCCTATTTTTTCAAGAATTTTCACCGAATTCGGACCGAATTCGTCCAGAAAATCTAATATTTTTTTCAGATTTTTTTCAGAAAATCTTTCCGAATTCGGTGACCACGTCCATACAACTTTCGTACCGAAATCGGAAGGAATTCGGAATCAGAATCGGACTTTTTTTCAGAGATTCTGACAGAAATCGGACCGAATTCGGCAAAAATTGTTTACTGGGATAACAAAACAAACACAGCCAGCCAGAGAACTTCATGTACCAACACAGTGAAACATAATGAGAAACATTTGCACAGACACATTCCCAGTAAACAATTTTTTCCGACTGCTCTGATTTTAGATTTTTTTCCGAAATTTCTGACGTTTTTTTCAGAAATTTCTGATAGAAATTGGTCCGATTTTCTAAACGTTTTTTTTTAGAATTTCTGCACATTTTCCTGTGTTTTTAAGCGAAAAAAAACTCGAAAAATGTACAAACGGAGAGAGTAGATTGTCTATTGCTCTGGCATATTCTCTTCCACATGTAAACGGATGGTGGTGGTTTGACACATTCTCTCCCATAGTAGTTGTTGTTGTGATCATTCATTTCAAGATCTCAACAACAACAAAGCGCAAAGCAAAAATGCTATTTGTTATTGTTATTGTGAACTGTTAGATTTTCCGTTGTAAAAATGTGCGTTTTGTTGTTGTTGTGAATCAGCCTCTTTCTCTTTCGTTCCCAAAAAAATATGATGGAAAAAAATTGCAAAAACAACTACATACCGGTTTTCTGTGTGCACTGCTTTTTATTTTTAGTTCTTGTTTAGCAGTTGAAACAGATACAGCAGATACAGTGAATTACAAAAATTATATATATGTATATAATAACAACAAATAATTGAATTATCTGTTATCTGTTCAACTCTTTTGTGCATTAAAATACTGTATGTTATGTTCCTAATAAAAATAATATTTATAATGTAAATGTATTATATATGTAATATTTAAACTACATTTTTACGAAACCCGAAATAAATTGTTTGTTTTTTAAATAAATATGTGTTTTTTTTTTTCATTTTTAAGTGGTGTGACGATTTTTTCGATATTTCTTCCGAATTCTGAACGATTTCTTTCAGAAAATCGGAACTTTCTCCCGAATTCTGAGCGTTTTTTTTTTTTTTTTTTCAGAAAATCTGAATTTTATTCCGAATTTTCTTTCGAATTCTGACCGATTTCTTTTAGAAAATCTGAATATTCCGCCGAATTTCCAGACGAATTCTGCCCGATTTCTTTCAGAAATTCGGAGTTGTCCTCCGAATCTTTTCCGAAAATCTAATTTTTTCTCCTATTTTTTCAAGAATTTTCACCGAATTCGGACCGAATTCGTCCAGAAAATCTAATATTTTTTTCAGATTTTTTTCAGAAAATCTTTCCGAATTCGGTGACCACGTCCATACAACTTTCGTACCGAAATCGGAAGGAATTCGGAATCAGAATCGGACTTTTTTTCAGAGATTCTGACAGAAATCGGACCGAATTCGGCAAAAATTGTTTACTGGGTTCTCGGTGTATGTGTGTGCGTGTGTGAGTGAATGAACGGTTGTGCATGGGCGTGAGTGACTGCGGATGTGTGTGTGTGTAGCCATGGTCTGGCTACTCTCGCTCGTTCGCCTGCTTTGCCACAACACGCCAACAGTTTTCATTCGATCTCTCAACAGTACAAGTGTGTGTTCGTTCAGACGGTCCGTTAACGGAAAGTGAACCAAGCTAAGGAAAATATTGAATAAAAAAATACATTTTTGAAATTATCAAAGCAAGACGGAATAAAGCACCACAGTGAGGATAGATTTTTTGGTGGCAAGCTATTGCGGAAAATCAAATGGAAATAGCTGTTCTAATTAAAGTGGATAAATGTAAATAATTTTGAAATATTTGTAAGAAATGTGGTTTGGTATAGTTCAGTGGTGTTCTAATTATGATGGCGGGCGCCATCTAGTGATGTCTCAATGTACTTGAAAATCCAAAAATAACTTCTTTTTGTTACTTGTGTTGGTGTTTTAATTTTTGTTATTTCTAAAAAAACTTTAAGGGAAAAGACCCACAATTACAATACATTAAAAGAATTTACCTCCCCAAGAATTGACAGCGACAAGAACAAGAAAATGACACAAAAATAAGACCATTAACCAAGAAGAGCACACACACCAGCGTATATATCGTTATTTGAGCATACATACACACTCACACATACATTCCAGCAAACACCAACAATATTAATTTCACATATTCATGGATATTCATAAAAGACCTACAAACATAACTGCCTGCCTACACGGACGTAAATCAAGCAACCCAACCGAACAGACAAACACTCACACACGCAGACATGCCACTGGACACCCCCTCACCGACGAGAAAAAAAGAAAGAAAATTTTTCATTACGAAGAAACAAAAAAACACGACACTTCGAACCCTCAACCGAAAAAAGCACACATTCATAGCCAACAAAAATATGTATGGTTGGTTACACACAAACAGACATACCCACATGTATGCCATTCATCAATGTATGAGAGTAGTAATACAACATCCATAAAACAACAACGCATCAAACAGACATTTCAACGAGAAAGCCAATGCAAAAATAAACCCCACCAGAAAAAGACACAAGTCTCGAAACACAGTGAAAAGAAAAAAAAAACAACACCAACAAGCAACAAACCCAACCGCTCACTATTTTACACACGCACGCAAACACACACTCACACACACTTTCATAACCCCAATACCCTAACCAAAATCCATGCTCTTACACGCACGACACCACACACATCCACAACATGGCATAACAGAAAAAAAGAAAACAAATAAACAACAAATATAAAAACTAAAAAGAAACGAGGAAAAAAATAGAATGACAAAACAAACGGCAAAAATGTAACCAAATGCAGCAACAAAAACAACAACACATCAATGGGAATTACCTTCAAACAACGATAATATGCTCACACTACTAGCACAGTGAGCGGGAGGAGATTGCGGTGCCTACATAGAAAGAAGAGAGTACGAGAGCTTTAAGAACAAACAAATAAATACTCACTGTTGTTGTAACAATATGAGTTTCACAAGGCAAAGAAAAAACTAAAAGACGATGTAAATACGAAAATTGTAAATCTGTTGCAAAAGATCTCTTCGCAACTCATACCGTTACAGTTGAATGTGTGGAGCAAAGAGTGAGAGAAAGAGATGGAGCCCCCCAAAAGAACATGTGTTTAATAGTGTTGCCACTTGTTGCTGAAATTTGTTTGTTTATGGGGGATTTAATGAAATGTAATCAGATGTTTGTAAAGAGTATTTTTAGAGGATATAATAATATTTTTCTAAAAAAGTAGACATAAAATTCAAAAAACCTAGTTTAAAAGTTGCAGCCGATTTTGCCAACAGATGTATACCCTCAACCAATATTCGATTATTTAAATATATTTTGACTTCTGTTATGATTACTCAAGTTGTTCACCTTAATGGAATAGATTCCGAAGGAATGGCCCAATATCGTCCATTTCGTATCGGACTTAATGAAATGTAATATAAATAATGCGAAGGTGCCATGTTTGGACTATATTGGTTACTTCCTATCTCTTTATATGAGATATGTCATGATTTTTAGAAAATGTGCGTGAGGTACCAGATATAGTCGACCGAAATATTCCCTTTTCATACTTCATCTAATACAGATAAAAATATTGGTATGGGCAAAATTACAAGAAAATCGAACATTTAAATCCATTTTGACTTTATATGCATTCAAGCGTGCAGGAGACCGCAATCTTTTAAAGTTGAGTGCAATTAGAGAATTCGAGGTAGCCACATACTTCCCCGTAATAATCGTATCCTCCATTAAATTGTTGTGCAGTTTTTTACTGTTAGCTTAATACCATTGCAAAGGCGTTGTGTGTCAATGCATCTTAGTAAAATCATATCCCAATCTGAATTTGACAAAATCTCTTCCAATAAATTCCGTCACATCTTCTATATTTCATTGAAATTGCAGGTACATACCGCGTTTGGTGCATCAAATATGTGAAATCGGCTGAGAATATATATGGGAGCTATATCCAAATCTCTAATTAATTTGTCAAATTGTAACCAAATTCCGCCAGACCTTCTGAATTTCATTGGAGTCGAACTTCAAATAACCGAAATCGGTCGAAAATATATATGGGAGCTATGTCCAAATCTGAACAGATTTCAATATAATCTAATAAATTTATTTTCTGATCAAATCCCATGACACATTCCAAATTTCATTGGAATCGAAAATACATATCGTCTTTGGAGCATCAAATAACCGAAATCGGACGAAAATAAATATGGGAGCTGTATTCAAGTCTGAACCGATTTCAACATAATTTGGCAAACAAATTTCATTGAAATTTGCCGTACACAGCGTGTTTAATGCATGAAATCGGCCGAAAAAAATCGGCCGTGGTTGGTTAATCAATATGTGATATCGGCCGTAAAAATATATATGAGAGCTACATCCTAATGTAAACCGTTTACAATATAATTTGGTAACTTTATTTTTGTTCCAAATTCCGTTACGCATTCCAAATTTGGAGAGTGTGTCTGTAATCAATCAATAGATATGTGCGTATAAAATCTAAATTTTTGGGAGGTACCTCCGATTCTGATGCTATATCTCCAGATACAAGTAGAATTTCAAAAATTTATATAGCCTATGTTGCTTTCAGGCGATCTTGGAAATTTTCAGGAAAATCTATGTAGCGGTTTTTGAGTCCATAAAACATTTTCAAGCTCACCTCCAAATCTCAACCCCAGATACCAACAATGACATCTATATCAGTTTGGGGATTCCAGCCCTATCCCAATATCGTATTCAGTGTAATGTAGTATTTTTCGTATTTCTTACACATTTCAAAACACCCGCCAATCTCAAACACAGATACCATCAGTAAACTAAATACCAATTTTCAAATTTTTATTTCTATTCTTCACCCAGTACTAAATATAGTACAATTCTGTACTTTTAAACATTTCCGAAACGACCTCTAAATGTCCAGGCTAAACATGAACGGGACCCTAATACCAAATTTCAGATTCCAAGCACTATCTGTTTACCCAATGCCAAATTCTACCAAATATAGTACTCTGTGATACTTGCCGTGCACTTTTTTCAAAGCCGCCTGATTATCACGAACCTGCCAAGAACAGGGACTCCAATACAACATTCAGAAGTTTAGTGCAATTTTAAAACATCGAGTAACCTTTAAGTTCGAACTTCGAAAATCCTTGGCTTTCATTCCAAATTTCAGTTTATATAATGTTCACATTATATAATGTGTGTGTGTAATGTAAGTCCTAGTAACATTATAGAGATTTTTAAGTTTAGTTATCATTTGTCTTAAAAATAGGCTGTAATTTCAAACTATTTTGATTAAAACTTAAGATGTCATCCGGATTATTCTCATACCTCTCTCTTATAATTTAAAAATTCCTACAGAAAAATAGATATATTTCTCAAACTATTTAAAATAATTGCTTTTATGTGTAATATGCCCTGCACTCATTCCAAATCATATTCAAATGTAACGTACTTATAAGATTTTTTTTTTTTGTATTTTTCTTATGAATATTATAAATCATTTTCTTGTCTGTTTGTAAAGGGCCATTGAACTGTGCTAAACCCACTCATTATTTTAACAAACCTCACGTGTGAATAAACCCCATCTAATCTCCCCGACTTATTTTCTTTCAGATTAAAAAAAGAAGTGGCAACCACTTCCAACATCAAAACAACAATGTTGTTCTCGTAAAAAAAAGATAAACAACAGCTGAGGTGGGAGAATACAAACAGCTAACCCTGCTAACTAGTGTGGGTGTTCAGAAAAAGAGTGCGCCAACAACAAAAATAACAAATGTGTTAGTGAGAGTGAAACTAAGAGAATAACAATTGCACAGTGTCTCACAGCTGTGTTACAATTCAACGAATGTGTGTGAAGTGGATTGAAAACCCAGTAAACAATTTTTTCCGACTGCTCTGATTTTAGATTTTTTTCCGAAATTTCTGACGTTTTTTTCAGAAATTTCTGATAGAAATTGGTCCGATTTTCTAAACGTTTTTTTTTAGAATTTCTGCACATTTTCCTGTGTTTTTAAGCGAAAAAAAACTCGAAAAATGTACAAACGGAGAGAGTAGATTGTCTATTGCTCTGGCATATTCTCTTCCACATGTAAACGGATGGTGGTGGTTTGACACATTCTCTCCCATAGTAGTTGTTGTTGTGATCATTCATTTCAAGATCTCAACAACAACAAAGCGCAAAGCAAAAATGCTATTTGTTATTGTTATTGTGAACTGTTAGATTTTCCGTTGTAAAAATGTGCGTTTTGTTGTTGTTGTGAATCAGCCTCTTTCTCTTTCGTTCCCAAAAAAATATGATGGAAAAAAATTGCAAAAACAACTACATACCGGTTTTCTGTGTGCACTGCTTTTTATTTTTAGTTCTTGTTTAGCAGTTGAAACAGATACAGCAGATACAGTGAATTACAAAAATTATATATATGTATATAATAACAACAAATAATTGAATTATCTGTTATCTGTTCAACTCTTTTGTGCATTAAAATACTGTATGTTATGTTCCTAATAAAAATAATATTTATAATGTAAATGTATTATATATGTAATATTTAAACTACATTTTTACGAAACCCGAAATAAATTGTTTGTTTTTTAAATAAATATGTGTTTTTTTTTTCATTTTTAAGTGGTGTGACGATTTTTTTCGATATTTCTTCCGAATTCTGAACGATTTCTTTCAGAAAATCGGAACTTTCTCCCGAATTCTGAGCGTTTTTTTTTTTTTTTTCAGAAAATCTGAATTTTATTCCGAATTTTCTTTCGAATTCTGACCGATTTCTTTTAGAAAATCTGAATATTCCGCCGAATTTCCAGACGAATTCTGCCCGATTTCTTTCAGAAATTCGGAGTTGTCCTCCGAATCTTTTCCGAAAATCTAATTTTTTCTCCTATTTTTTCAAGAATTTTCACCGAATTCGGACCGAATTCGTCCAGAAAATCTAATATTTTTTTCAGATTTTTTTCAGAAAATCTTTCCGAATTCGGTGACCACGTCCATACAACTTTCGTACCGAAATCGGAAGGAATTCGGAATCAGAATCGGACTTTTTTTCAGAGATTCTGACAGAAATCGGACCGAATTCGGCAAAAATTGTTTACTGGGTTTTTATGGGTAGAATGAAAAATTGAAAACAACAGCACAGAACAAAACAAACAGCAATAAGAGAGTGTGAAAGAATAAATAATAAATAAAAACAATAAACAATAATATTGGAAAAAAAATTGAATTTAAGAATAAAAACCAAAACAAAGTTAGTTTACATGTGTTTGTGATTTCTGAATAAAACGGTTTTGGAAATACCAAGCCAAAGAATCTGCATTACAAAAACCAATCGGTGAAGTAAAAGTGAAATGCAAATATTAATTCACAATTTTCAGTGAATGAGTGATGAAAACAAAACTAACATAATAAAATTTATGAAAAAGAAAACACAAGTGATTATAAATTGTTTTTAAAACAATAATCCAAAAACTACGAATATATTATATTTTAATTTTATTTTGAATTACCCATCCAAAAACCGTCTTTGACGTTAAATAAACTTCGTCTCTCACCTTTCCACCGTCAACATCACATCGTTGCGCCGCCATGGAGTTACAAATGAAATTGGAAATGCTGTGCCGCGTTTGTGCCGCCAATACAAAATGCAAAAATTCCGAATGTGTTTACATTTTGAAAACTGCCGGTCTATGTGAAAAATTGGATAAATTTCTTTACTTAAAGGTGAGTGCATCATCGCCGATAGAAGCTTGTATTATTTGTTTTTGTTAATCTCGAAGAGAACAAAAGATGCCTTGTAATTTTACGTAATTTCGTTTCTCAAATGTGCAATAGCACCTCACCGCCTGGCACATTGTGTTTTTTCCTTTTGTTTTGTTCAATATTAAATCAATGCAGTTGATGTTTCTTTTTTGTTGTTGTTACTGCTGCCTTTGTCATTGCTTATTTTCATTACAGTTTGTTTTGTTTTCATCATACCCTCTACAACTAAACACTACCACATGAACGAACTATTCTTTATAGAAGCGCACATTGCTAAAATTCGTAAAGGATTGCCATATTCTTTTATATATTTTGGCATTTTAAATCGGAATTGCGTAGTTTTTATACCCTACACCATACATAGTATGAAGGGTATATTAAGTTCGTCATTCCATTTGTAACTCATCGAAATAATAATTGTAGACCCTACATAGTATATATATTCTTGATCAGCGTAAAATTCTAAGACGATTTACCCCTGTCCGTCTATTGTAATCACGCTAGAGTCATAACGAATTAAGATAGGAAGCTAAAATTTTGCACACATCAGTCTAGTTCAAGTTCGAAGATGGGCTATATCGGTTCACGATATCGTATTGCCCCCATATAACGGTATCCCTGATATTCGGTATTTTGATGATTTCAGCCAAAATTTTCAATGGAACTGTTTTCAATTCCACACAAGGGGTTCTTTCTGAGTACTTTACCAACTAGAAAAAATTGTCTACATAGGTCCACGATATCGTATATCCCCCATATAACGGTACCCCCAGATATTTGGTTTTTTCATGACATTATTAACCGGGGTTGTTTCAAATTTCGTATTTGAAGTTCAGAACTGTTACTACAGCCTATGACAAAAATTACTTATGCAGGACCACGTTTTCGTATAGCCCCCATATAACGGCTTTTATTTGAACGGTATTTCTCGATTGATTTGATTTTTAAATCACTCTAGCTTTCAGAGAAATGAAGTAGGTTGATAACATATTGCTCAAATGTATATCGTGTCTACAGGACTTTTGGTATTGAAAATGGGCCATTCAGGTCCACGTTTTGATATAGCCCCCATATAATGGTTCCACCCTATTTTCGGTATTTTAGTTATTTGATTATTCACTGAAAATGTTTCAAATTTGGTATTTAAAGTTCGCAATGACTACTTTAGGCTCTGACAAAAAATTGTGTATGCAGGTCCATGTTTTCGTATTGCCACCATACAACGATACCTCTCGGTATTCGGTATTTTGATGATTTTAGCGACGTTACTTACTGGAATTGAATCAAATTTTGTATTTGAAGTTCGTAATGGATACTTTAACTTATGACAGAAAATTGTCTTCGTATAACCCACATATAACGGTACCTCCGTTTTTCGGTATTTTTATATTAGCAGAATTGTTTTAAATCTTGTATTTTAAGGTCCTAATGGTCCTGTAGTACCCAGCCTATGACAAAAAAGAGTACTTATGCAGGTCCACATCTTCGTATAGCCCCCATATAACGGTTTTCTTTTAAACGGAATTTTTGGGGGAAAATTTTTTAACCTTTTTCAGTTCCTTCCAAATTGTGGAGGCTATTGATGTAGGTTTTTTTCAGATGTATTTTAGGTCATAGGTTCTAGGTCCATCTTATATATCTCCCATATAACTGTCCCGCTTGACTTAGGTGTTGGGGTTGTTTTAGTTACAATTTTAACCCCACTTTCCTGTAAATTGACAGTTTGTGTTCCCAGTAAGCAAGCCACATCCTTGCATAGAACTGTACATACTGGTCCACATATTCGAATAGCCTTTATATAAAGGTAACTCCTTATATTCGGCATTTGGATGATTTTGCCACACTTTTCACAGGAACTATTTCAAATTAGATAGCCTACACCGCTATGATTGTTTAGCAGATCTACTTGTAGCAAACGTCTAAGAACATTTTTTGGTTGTGAATTGTGTCTTTAGATCAGAGCGAATTAATATGTGGGAGGTACATCCAACTCTGAATCGATGTACACCAAATTTGACGTAGGAATTTGTACTTCTCGTACCGAATAACATTGCTATAGAATGCATGATATGTCCACGAGAAGGTTTAAATTAGAAATATATCGGAGCTTAAGATATATGATAACCGAGTTGTACAGGTTCGTATTTACCTCCAGGAAAAAATCATTTAAATGTGTAAAAATCCATCCTATTTCGGCTGATATTAACAATTCGGTGCGCGATAAACGTGAAATCAGAGAATATATATGGGAGCTATATCCAAACATGAACCGATCTTAATCACATTTGGTACCAAATACTTGGTACCAAATAATATTGTTGGAGGGTGCATATTGCAAATGTGATGGACTTAAAAATCGAATCGAGGTCGAATATGTCAAAATACATCCTATTTAAAGGATTATTACGTATAATTGAAATCCGAAGAAGATATATATGGGAGCTATATCTAAATTTGAACTGATCCTCGCCAATTTCAATAGGGTGAGTGCTGAATTTTGCAAATTGGATATTTTCACTTTACTTTTTGGTTGAATTGCTAAACTAAAGCTAATGTTGTTGTTGCTGTCATTACGGACGGCAGCGATTCAATTAATGATGCTGTACATTTGCGTTTTTTTCTGTTTTGTTTGGATCGGTCTCTGCCGCGAGAAGAGCAAGCCATAAAGGATTTTAGTAGCGACGGTCGTGATATGTTTGCTGTAAAATATTGTTGTTGTTACTCTTTGTATGTAGTGTTGTTCGGAAACTAGTTATCGATGCTTATATTTTTTTGGAGTTTTTTTTTCGTATTTCTAGTTTTATGAACAGCAACGGCTAGTAGTAGTAAGTTGTGACCGTGCAAAAATGCATATAAGTTGCCTGTGGGGAGAGTTACCAATTGTTATAGGTACTTAACTAGACTAGTTACTACAGTTTAAGTACTTTCTAGGTTTTAATAATGTTAAATATGTACTACTAGTTTAAAATAACAAATAAAATAAGATTTGAGTGTTTAATAACTATTGGGTATAATTTATAAGTGAAATCTCTTCGACATTTAAAGTCAGTTGGCGTTTCTGTTGACATTAGGGCAATAGCGGTCCTAAAGTCGGCACAGGTTTGAGAGTAAAAAAACAGCGAAGTAGGTATAAATCGAAAGATTACACTTTTGATCTTTCAATCCTTGTTTATATCCACGAAAATAATCCAAACATTCATGATTGTAGCTCTGGTGTTCCCTCAAAAATATTCTACAGTTTTGATAAGTACTTAGACCTCTTAAAAACCCTCCAAAATTGTATTACAATTTTTTATAACCTCCGCCATAGTATGGAGGTTATATTAAGTTTGCCATTCCATTTGTAACATATCGACATATACATTTTAGACCCCGCAAAGTATTATAAATCCTTGATCAGCATAAAATTCTATGTCGATTTAAGGATGTCGGTCCGTCCATCCATCTATCCGTCTGTGAAAATCACTTTAGCTTCCGAACGAATTGAAGTACGTTAATAAAATTTTACTCAGATTGGTCTGTAAGCCTTTTGGTATTGAAAATGAGGTATATAAGTCTACGTATTGGTGTACCGCCCATATAACTATACCTCCCTATATTCGGTTTTTTGATGATTTATGCCAACATTTTCAAAGAAAATAATTTACTGCTCAGAAAGAGAAAGGTTAATCTGATTTTTCTTTAACTTTGCAGATCCCAATATTCGCATCAGTGTGCGAAAATGAACAATATCGGTGCACTCCATCTAGTACCTCCCCCACAAAGGGTCAAAATTTTGAATAATTATAACTCTTACAAAATGTGATGATGTCCGTTTGCCTCTAAATTATACACATCAAAATATTTTTATTAACCCAAAGGTCCGGTGTAAAGATGAAATATATCGGTCCACTCCTTCTGGTACCTCCCCCACAAAAGGTCAACATTTTGAATATTCATGAAGCTCATATAACACGAAATAAACATCGGATTCCATTCAGACTTGGCACATCTGAATATTTCTATCACCACAGGATCTGTTTTAAAAACGGTAGAAAGCGGACCATTCCTTCTGGTACCTCCCCCACAAAGTTTTGTATAAATATAACTTTTATAAAATGTGATGCTAGTGTCCGATTGCCTTCAAATTACACCCATCACAAAATTTTTGATAACCCAACCCAACCTTCTCATACCTCCCCGCAAAGGTCAAAATTTTGAATATCCATGAAAGTCATATAACGCAAATTTAACATACGATTCAATTCAGATTTGGCACATCTCAATATTTCCATCAACACAAGATCTGTTATAAATATAGTAGAGATCGGATCATTTCTTCCGGTACCTAACCCACAAAGGATCAAAGTTTTGAATAACAAAAAGATTACAAAATCCAAAATAAGCATCAAGTTTTCTTTAAATTTCACACATCCCGTTATTTCCACTAACAATATCGTCCACTCCTTCTGGTATATCCCCTATAAAGGCTCATAAAAAGCGAAATTAATATCCGATTCCATTCAAGACTTGGTACATCTATATATTTCTCTCTATACAAGATCTGTTAAAAAGATTCTAGAGATCGGACCATTTATGTTGCTACCTGCCACACATAGTGTTCAAGATTTTGAAAAACGAAACGCTCAAAGAAAGCGAAATAAGCATTCGGCACTCTTCAAATTTCTCTCAAACAAACATTTTGCTAACACAAGATCTGTTGTGAAGATGGTATATATCCGCGAGCCCCTTCTGGTACCTCACTCACAAAGGGTATTAATTTTCAATACTCTTATCTGTAATAACTTGCGAAACAAGTCAGCCATTCTTTACAACTTGCTATGTCTAAATATATCTCTATTTTCCACAAACTTGAGATGAATATGGAACTTATGATTTCGCATAAAATAGATATAAATGTTCGATTTTCTTGTAATATTGCCGATACCAATATTTTTTATAGTATAGTACAAACCCACGTCGCAATATGTATATCATATTTATTTAGGTCCGATACGAAATGGCCAATATTGGCCCATTTCTTCGGAACCAACTCTATAAGGGGTTAAACATTTTTTTTGAAAATATTAAAATTTCTTCCAAATGCTGAAGGGTATTAAAAGTTCGGCCCGGTCGAATTTACAACCTATTTACTAGTTTAATATGTTCTTAAAAATCCATAATTCTAAAGTCTATCAAAAACTATTCTGGAAATTTTTCAGAATACGATGATCCTTTCAAATTTTCTTTAAAATAAGAACTACTCTTAATTTAAGTAGTAGTTATGTTTTTTAATTGTTCATTTTTATGTCCAATCAACGACAAACGCACACACATACAACGCACGCTTTGCAACACGCATCACACAAAAATACATTTGTGCAAGGTGAAGGAGAACAGGTTTCATGTTATGGCATTTTCGAATTCGCATTTGAATGTCAAGTTCCTAAATCATTGTTGAGCTTAAAAACTAGAGGAAACTGTAAAAATAATTAGTAATTTTTTTGTAGGAACATTCTTATGATTGTAATAATCAAAGCGATTTTAAAATGTGTTTCAGGTAGCAATTTAAGTTTTTTCTTTTTTACTTTTCCCAAAAAAAAAAAATATGTTGATATTTGTAGAACTTAAGGAGTCACAGTTTTTACTGGGATCTGAGGCAAATCAACATTATTAAAATTGTTTAAAAATTCACATTAAATCGATGAATATTGAAAAAAAAATTAAATCCACGAGGCCTGGTCCGAATTTTAAAAATGAATATTTTTTAAATTTCCGAATCCTGGTCTATTTTTTTAATCCACAAGTTCTGGTCCGAATTTGAAAAAGGCTAATATTTTTTAAAATCTGAGAATCTTGGTCCGAATTTAAATAAAAGTTGTAATAAAATGTGGACCAATATAGATATATGTTAATAGAATGTCTACATATAAAAGCTAAAAATAACCAAAACAAAAAAAAAAAACATTAAGTTCGACCTGCCCCAACTTTTAATACACGCCACGTAGAGGAAATATTTTTATATAAAATATTCACTTTAAACCAGTAAGACCACTTGGATAATACAGTTGAACGTATCAAAAAAAAAAAAAAAACTTAAAGTGAGTGAGGCCTTTATATGGAGCCATACAAAAACGGGAACCTCTATAGACAAATTTATGCTTCAAGGATTGTCATTTATCAAATTTTCTAAAATACCAAATTTGAAACAATTATGTGAGTAAATGTGACTAGGATTATCAAAACACCGAATATCGGTGGGTATCGTTATATGTGCGCTATATGAAAACGTTGAATTAAATATTCAATGTTCTGCCACCGGGCTAGAACTACAAATATAAATTTTTAGACAAATCCTCATCCTCATAAAAATACAGAATATCGGGAGGTATCGTTATATGGGGCTATACAAAAACGTGGACCTACACATACAATATTTCGCCACACGAGTTAGAAGAAATTATGACCTACAAACACCAATCTTTCGACAAATCTGTGGAAAAAATGTGGCAAAAATCATCAAAATACTGAATATCGGGAGATACCGTTATATGGGGACTATACCAAAACGTGGACCGATATTTCTCATTTTCAATACCAACCATTCTAGATACAATACAAATTGTTCTGCTAAATGTTGACGCTCTACAATAAATAATGTTGGCTGCATCGTTATTTCAACAGACAGACGGACATCGTTATTAGCTTATGCTGATCACGAATAGATATACTTTATGGGGTCTACGACGAATATTTAGGGATGTTACAAACGGAATGATAAAGTTAATATACCCTCCTTTCAAAGGTGGAGGGTATACAAATATTGGCTTACTCTTATATAGTGGATGTATGGACATGGCCCAATTTTTAAAATAATTATTCTTGAAGTAATCCTAGGCTTTCTACAATTTTTCAAGACTTTATATTAAATGCGGAATATATCTCGCTTTGTATATGGCCAAGGTTATATAAAGTGCTTGAAAAAGTCTGTTAAAAGAAACTGGAACTCTTATGGGGTATTGAAATCAAATCCGCTTGGCCTTTTTTGAAAAAAATGTTTTGGGTTTCCAAGAAAATTGTAGTACAAATAATCGTCCTTGAAGAAGATGATTATATCGTCATATATATTTTTATTGCTTTTATATCGTCATTGTCTTTCATTTTGATTATCTTTTCTAATCTTTACCATTTTCTTTATACTTGCAGGTTCTTGAGAATGATGCTCTTCCCAAGATTCTGTGTAAATCCTGTTTTCGTCAAGTTGAGGCCACAGCCTCGTTGTCGAAAATTGCCAAGGACACAGAAAAAGTGTTTCGAGATTTCCTGTCCAGTGGCATGGTGAGTATTGATGAAATTAAACTTGCAATTAAAACAATTCTAATCATTTTCTTCATTATTTCCAGCCTAAAGGTGTCAATACAACTGAGACGGCGGCCAAAGCCAGCATCAACCCACCAGAATACACATCTTCCGATTTACTGAGCAAAAAAGATGCCGACAAAGGATCGAACAATGCAAATGATTTATCTACATCAACATCATCTACAAAATCCAAGCCAGCAGGATTGACAGACATGCAATCACCACCACCTCCACCCCCTCTGCCTACACCACCAACGTTTAATATAACACCACGTAAAGAAGACTTGGTGGTCAATGTATCCGTTTCAGATCCCTTGACCAGGGAAAATCAACAGAAAATGATTTCAAACTCCCAAAGACGTCATAGCATAATGGTCGATATGGCTTCATTGGGATCATTGGCAAATATAACCTCCAATTTGGCACAGCTATCGCAAAAGAACAACAATAGCCCAAGTACGGGCCATTCGTCGGGTCGTAAGTCAGCCAGCCCAGCTCGGGTGCAAAAATATTGTACAATCGCACCGAAACCTTTGCTCAAAACATCTCAGCAACCTAATCAGGTGACCACATTTTCAAGTGGTGGTTATGTTATTGAACCCTTGCAGCTGCCACAGAGCAGTGGCGGGAATTCTGCAGAAAAGGAGGTTATTAAAAAACCCGCCCTTCCCTTGACCATAACCGCCACTGGAGTAACTCCAGCCATTACCGTCACCGACAATACAATTTTACAGCAGAAACGCAAAAATTTGGTTAAAGCTTTAAATAACATCAAGGCTAATAGTGGCGGCCAGGTATCATTGCTGAAGAGTTCCCAGCCAAAGCAGCAGCAACAATCCTTGCTGCAATCCAATCAACCAGCGGGAAAATCACTTTTGGTGGAGAATATTGTCAAGCAGGTGACAGACGAACTGCCAGATCGTATTATTATTGCAGCTCCGAAAAACAAGGCGGCATCCTTGAATAAACCCAAAAAGCCAGAGGATTCCAATATACCAGCCTCCTTGGCTGCCAGCAACCCGACCATAAAACCACCAAGTACTTTGGTTATATCGGAAGTTCCTGCTGTTCAGCAGCCTTTACCAGCAACTGTGGCCCAACAGCCACCACCAGCAGCAGCAACTCAGCAGCCACCCAAAACATCCAGTTTTCCAGAAGATATTCTCTTGGGTCGTGTCATCAAAGACATCGATCTATTGAAACTGATTCTAAAAGCTCTCAAATGGCCGGTAAATAAACAAAACTTGGAACTGCAATTGCAACGTTTGAAAAGTACCCGTTTCACCGATATTATGTCGGATCCAAATTTGTTGCAAGATACAGATTTGACACAGCTATTAGGTCCATATTTGGCTCCCGTCCTGTTGGCAGCACAAGCCTTGCAACAACAGCAGCAACAAATTATGATGAATAATAATGGAAATGCTTCAAAAGTAGCCGCTGGACCTAAGAAATCGGCGACTACTACTACCATTATTACACCAACCTCCAAACCCATTGCAATTCCATCTACTCTTCTGTTGGACTCTACAAAAGATGAAATCAATAAGGCCATACCCTATAAACTACCGCCAGAAACATCGGTGCAGTTGGTACCAGCTCTGCCCGAAGAGACGGAAATCAAAGAAATTCCTTCAACCTACAATACAAATTCTGGCAACTTGAAGCGACCCCACAGCAAGGATTCGGGGAAATCTTCAGCACCCATGATTAAGAGGCAACGTAAATCGGGTATACAGAAACATCGTGATTCGATTGTTATATCCGATGAAGAGGATGGAGAACCGCCTGCGGCCACTGAAAAGTCCAACAAAACAAATGCTCGCCAACGTTCAAATAAGTTGCCAAATAATTACGAAATTGATCTGACCAATCCAAGTTTCCTGGTGCAATTGGGCCTTTTGAATGGAAGTTCTTCGGAACAAGCCAATGAGGCATTAATGGCTCTATTGGCCAAACAAAGGATGGTCAAACAGCAACAGAGCAGCAGCAGCAGCCAAAGAAAGAGACTTAGCAGCATTTCTCATAACCCAATAATCCCCAGTAATAGCAGTGATAAGAATACCACGGATAATGCCAGTGAATTTGATGCCTTGATAAATATTGATGATGACATTGTCCTGATGGAACCTGTGACCACAAGTTCATCATCATCAATGGCAAAGGAGGAGATTGGAGCCAATAAATCTGTATCCAATCTGCCTGCCATTGATATTAGCAATTTTGTAATGCCTCAGCAGCTACAAAATGTGGCACCAATTATTACAAGGCCCATAATTAAGCGGCGCAAGACCGTCATACAGTCCTCAAAGGCAGTTGTTAAGGATGTTGTGGTACCACCAACCACCACGGCGGCCAGTAACAATGCCGGGAATTCGAATAAATTGGAAAAAGACAATGCAACAAAGAAAACATCACAAGAGGAACTGCCAACAACGACGACAACCGCCAACACCGGCGGCAATGCTACCCCATCAGGGGCCAGTAGCACCGAAACATCACCCTCAAAACAAGGATCACGCAAACAACAAAATAAAGCTGCCTTGGGTCAACAGCTACTGGAGGCGATTGGTTTACAAAAAATACAAACCAAAGATTCCAGCAAAACCGTGCATTATGCTTCCACATCTTCGACTGCTTCCAATGATGTTGCCCCTCCTGCAATGGGTAGTAAACAGTCGGTACAACAAATACGTTCAGCTCTAAAGAAGTCCCTAAAACAGGCCCAGGAACAACAACAACAACTGCGTAACAAAGACTCCACTACGACCATCATACAAGATGCCGATTCCACAACTAAAACCACAGTCAAAGATATTGTCATTGAACATCGTAGCAATAAGTCCATGGACAGCTCTTCCACCCACGATGATGATATCGAAGAACAAATTGAAAAAATCACACTGGTTAAGAGTGCCAACACCGTACAAGAGACTTCAACTAAAGATGAACCCAAAAGGGAAACTTCGTCAAGGAAAAAACCTTGCCTCTCGGCTGGAAGAATAACCGAACGTAGAAGTACTTTACCCTCATCGGCGGGTAGGGTACGCTTTAATTTGAATCCTAAAGGAGGGGATAAGGAGGACAAGGAGGAGGAGAAGAAGACTACCAATAGTACTTTGAAAAAGGAAACGGATGTGGTGAAAGCCGGCCAACAGGAGGAGAAAATGTAAGTGAATAGAAAAGTAGATTCTATAAACGGAACATTGTCTTGAGACTTTTGGGAATAGAAGAGTTTATTTTAAGTGAAATTTACTTCCTCTACAGATAGGTCAGGTCTTAAGATAGGAGATCTATTAAAGATTCTTAGATATTCTGTCTACATTTGGTCTTTTGTAGACACAATTTTTTTTTCTCTTTAGGGTTTTTTTTTAACATTAACTTTAGTAGCTTTTTAATTTTTAAGTGAAATTTTAGTTCCTCTACTGATAGGTAAGATAAAAGATCTATTAAAGGTCTTTTGCCTCCTTTTTGTTTTTTATAGAACCAACTTTTTCCTCGTTAGGGTTTTTTTTAAACATTACCTTGAGTAGGCAGAGACCTGGTGTTGAGACTTTTGGGAATAGAAGATTTTTCTATTTTTTTAAGTAAAATTTTAGTTTCTCTACAGATAGGTTAGGTTTTCTTAAGATCTATTAAAGGTCTGTTACATGTCTTATATATTTTGCCTCCATTTGGTGTTTTATAGACCCACAATCCTAAAGAGGAATACTTATTAGGGGTTCTTTTTAAACATTACCTTGAATAGGTTGGATACCTTTATAGAACCAATATTTTCATAATATCTCCCATTTAAAGAAGACTTCCTTTAGGCACTTCATCCAAGAATTGCTAAATATAAAAAGAAATCCTTCTTTTGGTTTCTATAGATCGGGGACTTGCTTGTACAGACGGAGACCTTTTTAGGTCCTCTATATTAAGATTATTTCTATAGATAGAACACCAACCTCTTCTTTATGGCTTCTATATTTTAAACCTCTTCCTTGGGCTTGGTTGGGCTTAAGAATGCCCAGCTACACGGACATTGGCAGCTGGGGATCTTTGTTGATTTGTGTTCGTTCTAAGAAGAATGAAGTAGTGGTAGTAGTGAGGGTATTGTGTATTTGTTTGTAACAGGGAGAAGGAACCGATATAGACCCATAGTTACTTTTGAGGATCTTCATAGAATCACTTTCTGAGTCGATTTATGGAAGTCAGTTCATCTATCCGCCCGTCTGTCCATGTATTCTTGTAAAAATATGCAGGTCGAATTTATTATCCGATTGAGATGGAATTTCCTAAACATTATTTTTTGGCCCAAGGACGAACCCAATTGAAATTAGTGATAATCGGATCAGATTTAGATATAGCTCCCATATATCTTCAACCGAATGTAACTCGAGTTAATTGTGCACCAAATGGCCAATATAAATCCTAATGACCTGAAATTTAGTACATCCCACCGAATTCAGTCCTCAAATTTGGTCACAATAGAGCTATAGCTCCCATATATATGTTTCATCCGATTTGATGTTTATGTCCCTCACATTCGTAATATGCATTCGACAGAGCTCAGAAATAACTTTGTCAAATTTTATCGAGAAATTTTCAAGATTTGGCTAGGACATCCTTAATCCGACTTCAGGTTTGTTGTGCAAATAATGAGTGATTTCAGCCCAAATGGAATGAATTTCGGGACGTACGTTTCCATTTTGTGAAACTCGGCTACGATATATATTTTGTAATATAATACTTCTCGAAGTAATATCATGCACTCTGTAGCTATGCTATTTGATATAAAAGATTAAAATGTCTCCGTCAAATTTAGTGAAAATCGATTCAGAATTGAATATGTTGAAAGGTGGTTCTTCAAATAAATTCTTTTGTATCATATAGTCAGCCCCGCCCGACTTTTGACTTTTCCTTACGGGGTTTGCTTCTATATTTCTTTCCTATCACCTATATTTCATTCATCTTAGGACGAACACAATGAACCGAAGGTCTTGTACAATGGGTTGTAGAGATAACAGTAAATAGGTTTGAGTAGCCAGGAGATGCTCTAAATAAACCTAAAGATTATGAAGACCGTTAGAGTGCTGATTTACATCTTCTTCATCTTCACATAGTCTGTAGCAACCAGGACCATTTTTGTTTTGAGATCAGATATCTGATACTGCAGGCCTTTGCTGTCCTTCATTATATCTTGTAGAAAAATATTTCACTTTTGCTTTGATTGAATATTTTCATGTGTTCATTAAGTTCACAAGTAATTCATACATCCCACAGAGCTTTTATTCTACTGGGCACAGTAGAGATTTTCCATGCCATCGACTTTGAGCTCAATTTTGTCTCACTGTGTTACTAAAACTTATTTATTTTCTATTGCAGAAAATCGGAAGCTGAAAGTCCCAATGTTAGCTCAACATCGTCCACCACCGAACAATCACAGCCAAAAGAAGAACCCACGGAAACGCCACGTAGACGGGGAGGACGTAAACGTATCACTGAAATTACAGAGGCCAATGATACATCCAACCACACGGAAAAAGAAAGTGAAAAAGAAAAGGATAATAAACCCAAAGAAACTGATAAAGACAATGACAAGAAAAAGGATAAAGAAAAAGAAAAGGATAAATCGAAAGACGCCGAAAAGGAAAAAGAAACCAAGTCACAATCCTCCAAAGCTGTTGATAAAATAAAAGAGGACCTAGATGAGACATCGAGGTATGTTGAAATGAAATTTAATTTATTTTCCCATTTTTATAAAATTTGTGTTTTCTTGTCTTTTGCAGCAACTCGGGCCGCCCCACAAGACAAAGTAAAACTTTGTCCAAATATTATAAAGGTCCAGATAAGGCAGCTGCCAGCCGACGTTCATTGCCAGCAAGATCAACAAGAAATAGGTAAAATATTTATTCATTAATCAATCATGGTTTAGTTTGTAAACGTGCATATTGGAATTGCTGTTAATGGTTTCCAATGTGAAAGTTTTATTTATTGTGCGGACACACTTGAGTGGGGAAAACTGTTGCTTTGTGTATCAAAAGTGTTTTTGATTCAACTAATATATCATAAATCAGTACGACCCTCATGATACTATTGTAGGTTCTCTTATATCATTCACCACACGTTATCCCTATTTATGCATGCTTTTCTGCAGCATATTTAAATCTTTGTCTTATACCCCATAAAATAAATAATAATTCGGATGGTCATAAATAAATTCCGAATTTCGTATGGTGTTCGAGTTTAGGACAAGGCAGAAGTCTATAATTTAGATGATCTTCGGATAATGTGGTACATTATTTGTATTTCTTTGTGCACACGTACGCAACATGCAAAAGAAGACAAGCTAGACCCAAAATTCCTATTGCCGATCTACAAATAATCAATTTTTGAATTTTCGTTGTTTTTTATGTAGAGGCTCCTACGCCTGTATATATTCTGATTCTTCGCTATATTTTGGTTCCATAGCGATACAGGAGTTAGGTGAGTAGGTTTGGCCGCACTGTAAATAGGTACATCGTGCCATGTGGGCGTGTGTCACCTGCTGTGAACATGTCCTGTGCACTTTTGCCCAATTCGATTTGAGGCTCAATTGTGGCAAAACTACACTGAATTGTCGAAGCAGCTGTCGTTTTTCAGCTGCGATTGGAGGGGGATGATCTCCGAGTGGGGTATACCCTCTGCAATGCTCCATAACTTCTGTGATCGCGTCAGAGTGGGTATCATTCAGTTCTGCTTGATAGGCGTGTTGATATAGACCCTATCTCTAGATCATGAAGGTCTTTCCTTACGTGTTTCCTATCTACCAGCAAGCAAGTATTGCTTTACAGCATTTTATTATGCTTACGCACCGGTTGGCCTTATCCTCTTCATGTTAGACGGTTGACAGGTGTAATGAAAAGGCACCCTGTTGGGGTCGGCGTTCTGTCTGTCCATTTCCCTGTCATCGGGATCTATTAGAGTGGTATGTTGAGTAGTTTGATTCATCCAGTTACTTTGACATCGCCATAGAGATACCGTCAGCACCAAGCGTCTTGGATACTAGTGACGTATACCCTACCCCTCGACTAGGAGAGATCGTATACGACGTAAAATTCTTCTCTTAGTCCTTTCACTTCCGGGGTGTTCCATAAACTGTCGGTTAACTTGCGCACTTATTCCGCACTTATTCATTCGTCGGCCCACGTATTTCATTATTAATTATGAATATTTTTTGAACATTTCATTTGTTTGGTCCAAATACGAACACTATACGACATCCCATTAGAAATTTAAGTCTCCCAAAAGCCTAAAATACGCCCCATAACTATGTTATTTGGTAAGCGATTCATATACAGCTTAGAATATATTTGTCCAATACTGTCGTGAACGGTTCGGATTTGGATATAACACCCACATATATATTTTCCCATTTTCTAACGGACCCACTCACGTGGTTATCATAATGAATATTGTCAAAGTCCACCAGAGCCACAAACCTGGATTTTTTAAGGAATATTTGTTTAAAGTCCAACCGAATCTGCATTTTGATTTGATATAAATACTACGTTTGTCCAATTAGGCTGATTTTGAATCATTCAATCAAGTTCTGACTAGAATAGAGTACTCCATTTGGACCGAATCGGCCTCCTCCATATTATAACATGCACTCTACTTTCTATTTAGGGAAAATCGTTTAAGATATCTTGTGCTTCATTCGATTTCAAATTTAGTTCTATCCGACTTCAAATTTAAACCGCTCAAAAGACTCAACACGCAATAAATAAGGATTATAGATGGTCTGAACTACTCTATAGAAATTCCAAATATAAACTCATAGCTGTTACAAGTAGATCTACTAAATTTGCATAGTGTATTAGGATATCATCCTTTTATCCTTCTTTTTCTGATTCAAGATATAGTTTCTTCTGGATATACACAGTTATACACACAAACAGTTTTCCCTTCCTCAAGCTACCGATTTTTTACATTTTATTTCTAAAATCCTATCTTCAGATTGAATGCATTGGATCTTAATTGCAATTATTTACGAATACATACAAGAATTATCGCAATGGTGGGTCGTCCAAATATAGCAAAAACTGTTATTCTTAAAAAATATGGATGATTTGGAAGAAAGTCTTAAAATCTGAAGGATAGAAAGAAAACGAAGAACAATTCTCTCTTTTTTTTTGCTGCAATTTTTTTTGAATTTCTTTGTATCGTTAACATCTTGCTATTGGGCCTCAATAAAATAGTTTGAAGTTTGACTAATAATTTATATTTAAAACATTTAAATGAGTTTGCTTAGGTGTAGGTATATTGAAGGCTATCTTTGCAGGCTCGACAAAAGTTTCTAGAATAAGAATACATAGAACAAGTTTTTTTAAAAGCCTTTTTATGTATTCTCACCTTGAGAAGCTCTTGGCGATTCGTAATACTTTTTTATAGATAGGGTATATTTGTTTTTTATTTGCACCACCATGATTTTTCGATTTAATTCTCCATTCTTTAAGCATTTTTATTTAGGCCCAGCAATAAGTATTTGTCTATAAAAAAGGAAACTACAACGCATTCCAATATCTCTACATCTACATCTTTTCATCCATCCATCCACAACTCTCTAACATTACCCATCACTTTTGGAAATATTTACTAAAATAATAATTACTTTTTAAAGGAGTTCTACAACGAAGTTTTGTAAAAATCCTTTAAAAAGTAATATTTTTCAATAATTTTTTTGGCAAAGACTTCAAATTTATTCTAAATCTCTCTCTTTTTTCTCTTTCTATTTTTCTCCCCCATCTATTTTCCCAAACTCCTGCAGAAAATATTGTTAAATTTAAAGTGTACGTATAAAATAAAAAAAAGGAATTTAAAAGAGATGATTCTAAACAAACAAAAGTGAATTCAAGCCTATATTTTTAACAAATTGAATTTGTAAAAAACACTGTAAATATATTTAATAATAATACTACTACAATGAAAATTCAAATCTATTTTGAAATAAAAATTAGTTTAAAAAGTTATGCTTAAGTTATATAAGTATTAATATATATTGAAGTAAACAATATTATAGTGTATATTACATGGTGTTACAAATTGAAAAAAAAAATACATTTTTCGTACATGAATTCCTTACTTTAAAAGTAAAATTTTACTTCTTTTGTAACGTCGTTTTATATTTAAATATTATCTAGGTTAAGATTGTAAATTGATTTTGTTTCAAATGAAAATTTTAAAAATATTTGAAATGTGATTTAAATTTAATTTTATAATTAAAAAAATCAACCATTTTCTTTGAATTGAATTGTGTAAAAAAATATAAAATATAATATTTTCTATTTTCAATATTGATATTTGCTATTATAAACTAAATAATTTAAAATATTTTCTCATTATATATTAAAACATATTTCATAAGAAAACCACACACATTACATAACATAGAAATTTTCAATACAAAATATATATAGTTTTAATGAGGTCATTTTGACAAAATGTTGTAAAAAATTAGTTATAAGAACTACAAGTTTGAATATGAATTAATAAACATGTATTTAATTTTTATATATATGCGGTTTTAATACAAAAAATCAGTAAAACAATTTTTTATTTATATTCATTATAGTTAAGTACGTATGTGTTGGAGTTCTTTAATTTAAAGACCGACATGAAGACTACTATTGAAAGATCTTTAGAATAGTTTCAATCTATAAAATTCTATCATATAGCATTTTAATTCTGTAGGACATCATGATGAGGACTTTTTGTTATAAAAATATCATTTACAGGATTTTTTTTTTGATATAATAATCCATAGAACGCCATCGAACATTTTATGATGAGAAGTTTTATGTATATATAAAACTATCAAAAAATATTTTAATTAAATAATTTTAGAAGATTTTCTGCTTTTAAAATTCTGTCTGCCGATCTTTTATATATAAAGAAATCCGCCAATGGAATTTCATATATATATAAAGGCACCCTATCGATAGAAAAATTGTCAGTTGGTCTTTAGGTTTTCGGAATGATATTCTCCCATGGCTTACATAAAGTCGGACAGTAAGCCCATCTGACATACAAGTTTGTCGTCAAAAGTCAAATCACAATAGTGCAAAAACTGCTAAGTTCATTGGCAAATTGAGATTTATTGTGAAATATTGCGTAGATTTTTTTTCCTTTGACACCCTTTGTATAAAACGAAATGTTATGTTACTTTCAGCAGTAAATTCGAAAAAAAATCCAAAGAAAAATTAATTTAAAAACAAGTAAGCAAAGGCTACAGTCGAGCGGGGCCGACCGTTGAATACCCTACAACACTATAATAAACGATACAGTTTATATAGGCGAGATACTCGAGAGAATTCCACAAGATATTGTGACAAATTATAAAAGAAAACCATCAGCTTTCGTTCTCTAATTTTCGAATAATAGCAACTTTAACTAATTTGCTCATTTCCAATTTATTGGTAGATGTTGCTCGTAAATGGTCTTCCTAGATCTGGAACCAATATTTCGCAAAGACCTATAATCTCTCAGAAGTGGTAAAAGATTAACATTTATTATTGGTTTTTGACTGAAACGCATCTATATGAGATACAGACATTTAACTATATTCTTCAACGAAATCAGCGTTAACGAAATAGTCAGAAGTGCGTCTTTCCTGTATTTGTGAATTCTCCAAAAAGTCTCTGGAATAGACATTTTCGTATTTGTCTACAAAAGTTGGCAAACTATTTCACACATTGAATATTTTTGGATGGCCATCCAAAACTGCTTGGCTTTTGCAATGTCCGGTAACCCCCTTTCAAATGTGCGTGAGGATCGGGCGATAATTACGACCTGCCGACAATTTTGCAGTTTTTTGGTCCATTTCAACCCCTAAATATATGGCGATCATCTCCAAAAAGAGTAGGCTTCTATTCTGACCCTCATCTTATCTCCATGCGTAAGGATCGGGCCATAAATGCGATCTGTATATGATATCCTGATATCCTAACTACTTAGTTTTGTTAGCTGTAGAAATATTACCAAATGTTTAATTCAAAATGAAAATATGCCAAAAATATGACAAAATTGAAAAAATATGAGAAAATTTTACAAAATCAATATTTTCATCTTTAGAGAGATATTTTTATGCGATTTTTTCAGACTTTTTTCTTTCCTACCAAGAGGCCATTCTGAATTAATGAGAACTGTCGAAATCAGTTCAGCCGTTCTCGACATATAAGAGATCTTTCAAGCATATCTTCTTTGATAGACATATATATATAGCACATATTTTGCTATATATCCGATTTGTTGGATATTAACATCAATGTAAAGGTCAGAAGTAACCTTGTCATGGCTTTGTGATTTCACCGGGATTTAAAATATTCGCGGTTTAATGAAAAATTTTGAATTTTTTCAACACAAAATATATGGTCTATTTTACCCGCTAAATATTATCCGATGACCACCCAAATTGGTAGGCTTCTTCCCCGCCCTAAACTTTAGCTACATGCGCAATTCCGCGTCGATTGGTCTATAATTGCGACCTGTATAGCTACTGCAAAATCCGACATTTTTTCAGTATTTGGTCCATTTTAACCCCTAAACATTTGGCGATCATCTCAAAAAGAAATAGGGTTCTATTCTGGCCCGACCCCGACCTTCATTCCAAATTTCGTGAAGATCGGGCCATAATTGCGACCTGTAGAGTGATTACAAATTAACATGGACAGACGGACGGACGGACATACATAGCTAGATCGACTCAGCTCGGCGAGATAGGATGATCCATATATACTTTCCTATGTGGGAAACCAATATTTCGAGGTGTTACATAATTTTTGGCCCAATCAAACTTATAATACCCCCAACACATAGTGTTGTAGGGTATAAAAATATATATATTCATTTTTTGGAAATCTTATGTAAATATTTATTTATTTTATTTTTTTATGTACAATGTAATTAGAGATTTCATTTCTTTGGTGATTTATATTGGTGAAAATATCGAATAATGGGAGGTACTGATGTATGGGGCCTATACGAAGACCTAGACCTGCGTAGACAATTTTCTCTCAAATGCTGTAGTTCCCATTATGAACTCTACATACGAAATTTGTATGTCACTAAATATGAATTTGATGTTTGAATAATGTCACTAAAAGCATCAAAATACCGAAAAATGGGAGGTACTGATATATGGGACATATACGAAAAACTGGACCTGCATGTGCAATTTTCCATAGGCTTTAGTGCCCATTACGAATTTCAAATACGAAATTGGATACAACTCCGGTGAATAATGTCCCTAAAATCATAAAAATATCGAATATTGGGAGGTACTGATATATGGGGCCTACACGAAGACCTGGACCTGCATAGACAGTTTTCTGTGATAGACTGTAGTTCCCATTACGAACTCTAAATACGTAATTTGAAACAATTCCGGTGAATAATGTCGCTAAAATCGTCAAAATACCGAATATAGGGAGGTACTGTTATATGGGGCTATATGAAAACGTGGACCTACATGGCCCATTTACAAACTTAACCTGCCTACTGGCAAAATAAACATGTGTGCAAAATTTTAGCCTTCTATCTCAATTCGTTCGAAAGATAGCGTGATTACAACAGACAGACAGACAGGCAGACGGACATGGCTAAATCGTCTTAGAATTTTACGTTGATCAAGAATATATACAATTTGTTGGGTCCAAGATCATTATTTCCATGAGTTACAAACGGAATGACAAAATGAATATACCCTCCATAGTATGGAGGATACTCCATAGAAAGTTGATATGAGAATCAAGTATCAAATAGCATTGATGTGAGGAGGTGATTTTGATATATGTGTGCTTGAAATCTCAAATTTGGCATAGGGGGTTGATTTAGGGTTGGGAGGTGGAAATTATTCATCCAATTTATAACTTGATATTAAAAAATTGTGGTCATTTATTTAATATATTCTATTTGGGACAATTCTCTTAACATAATTCAGTTAATATAAATTCCTTATTCCGCATACGAAGTAGCGGGCACTTGCTAGTATCTAAATATTTCTCTTAACCAGAAATTTGATATGAATATGTAATTTATCGGAATTTATGATTTTGGATGTGATTTCGATTTCATTCAAATTTTGCACATACCAATATTTTTATCTGTATCAGATGCTTCTGAACCTCCCCTATAAAGAGTCAATAGCTTGAATAATCATGACTCAAGGCTGGGGGTATACAACTGTCGGCAAAATGGACTGATACTTTTTAACTTGTTTTTGTCTAACTTTATTGGTATTATAAGCAGGCTTATATAAGGAAAACTCCGGATTTTGAGAATTAGGAATGTTGCAAACACAATTACCACCCAAAATGTATGTAACTTTACTCAAAAAGGTCACACTATTTGGTATCATGTGTTTGTGGATTTTGTTGGTCCTTAAGATTTTGAAATTGCTGGTAATCGGTTTTAATTTGCTCTTGCATCTCTTGTCCTATTAACCTTTATTTTGCACAAAATATGTAATAGGATTGATTTTTGGCAAATACGAGCGAATTCAGTTTAACACCATAATGACGACAGAACTTCCATTTATTCAACTCCCCATCAATTTTGAGTCATCATAAACTTAACTTTCAAAACAACCACTTTAACTTTAGATTCTAAGCCGTATTATTTATTAACTCAATACCAAACATCTCCATTGTTATATGCTTTGTGACTACTGACGTTGGACGAACGTGCTTTTTTTGCAAAACCAAAAAAACTTGCGCCACATTTATTTTCAATTTAACTTTTAGCCTCCTAACTGAGAAGGTGAAAACACACTCAAGTATTTTCCAAAATCAAAAAAAACAACAACAGATTTGAGTCGTCGTTACCTGAAAATAATTACAACTGAACAATAACTGCTGTAGCTACTGAGC